CAGACAATCATTATACGCAACCTGAAGTTTGCGGATGCTGGCCTTTTTGAACTTAATCCACAAGGGCGCAGTATAAAAAGGGGTGCAGTAAGCCCTGAAAAGACTCACTTTAACCTTCTCTGAACACCAGGAAAATCTTCTGGTCAACAAATTTGCCTGCATATATAAACTACGACGCTGTCTGTTCATATCATCATCATCTGTCATATCATCAGTGATGATGTGTCCCAGATATTTAGTTTTAGAGCAAGCAGGGAGCACTTGTCCTGACAGGTAAAAAGATGGAAAAGCGAGGTCCTTATCCCCTTTTACTCTGCAAATCATAACAGAACTCTTCTTAGCATTATAACTCACATCAAATTTTATACCATAATCAGAACATATGTTGAGCAGCTCTTGAAACCCAGCACTGCTAGGCGAAACAATTGCCAAATCATCGGCATACATAAGATGATTAATAAGTACACTACCAACCATACAACCTGTTTTACAGCTTCTTAACTTGTCTGAAAGATCATTCATATAAATATCAGTGCATAGATACATAAATCAGTACTAAGTTTAGCCTTAAAGCCAAACTGGTTATCAGAGGTGCATAGATATACAGATAATCTGTGCAGTAAAATTCTCTCCAAAACTTTGGACAACACACTGGCAAGAGCAATTGGCCGATTATCTATCTATCTATCTATCTATCTATCTATATATCTATATCTATATATATATATAAAACCAGTCTAACATTCTGGCCGAGGCCTTGTACTGACTCGCTACTGTCTTACCATCAGGCTCATTGCAGTATGTGGCAGGGTCAGCTTGCAAACTGTAGAGACGTGCCTGCAGAAGAAACAAATGCTTAGCTGTGGTTGTTTTGTTTCCACAAACAGATCATGTGCTCACTTTTACAGTCCTCTTATGACAAAACACAAGGAAACCAAAACCTTTATTATTGAACAAACACTGTGTTCAATAATAAAGGACATTAACCTGAAAGTAACACAGATCATTTAATTGTTTATTCACAACAACCTCTGCACAAAGATCATGCTTAACTCTGCTGTTTTATCATTTAGAAATTCCTTATCTGTCAACCCTATGAAGAGGTTATTCTAAAGTCAATTTTTCAGTTAAAAGTACAAATACTGGTGCCCACCTTAGAACTGTCATAGACCTCTGTAGTTCCAGCTGGAGTTGCCACCAATGTGATTACATCACAATCAATGGTTTTATCAGGGGGTGGAGCAAGCGTGTCTGTTATCACCCCTAAGAAACTAGACAGGCTTTTCTTCACCTTTTCTGTGGTCTCAGAGGAACCTTCCACCTGGAAAGCAGTGCAAACAGACTGTTAGGATAAAGCAACAGATAAATTAGATTTGGTGTATAGCAACTAATACACCATTCATACAGGAGACATGCTGTAGTTCTACTGACAAATTCAATCAGCATCTCACCAGACTGTCAGAACATACTTAGGATTTAAAAAAAAACAAAAAAAAAACAAGGTGTAAGCTTCAACTTACCGCAAGCTTGTTCCTGACAGCAGTGGCTGTAGCCACAATTGAGCAGGTTGTGTCATGTTGCACCACAGTGGAGAACTCTGTCAGATCTCGCTTTATGAATTCTAAGGCCTCAGATGACTGCAAGTAACAGAATCAAATACGCAAGATCAAAATCCAGATTTAGCTTTATTATCTCCATTAGGAAATTCTTATTTCAGACAAGTACACATGTACATAAAAACCAAACATTAAAATAACACAAGAGAAAGAGTTCAATGCAGTTCACACAGGCAATCCCTCAAGAAAGATCAAAGTATAAAACTTTGAGGAAAGCAGTAAGAAAATACTTTTATTAGTAAGGCCTAATTTACCTCTGATCTTTGAGTTGCTTTGCAATGGTAGTGTGGGGGAATGTCAAAATTTCATGGTGAAAAACTGACTACAGCTGATATTTCACTTGTAGTCTGATGCACATATTTGTACATATTTCTTACACAACATATCTCTCACATATTTATATGTATATATTGTGTTATATATTCTAGCATAATGCTCATTTTTCTTGTTGCATAATTATTATTTTTTTTCTTATAATCCCTCTATGCCTGTATACAGTATGAGAGCAACTGTGATATTTCCCAACTTCCCTCAGGGATCAATAAAGTATTTCTGATTTCTGATTTCTGAGTAACAACCGTTTAACAACCCACGGATACTGTGAATGAGGCACTGGGAATGAATCAGCCTCTCATCCTACTTGTTCTACGATTTTTTCCAGGAATATCACGGCTCAAATTTCTATGTACAAGGGGCGTTCTGAGAATTGAATATCTTTAACTTTGTGGATTATCTGCTCATGCTAACAGACAGCTGGGAGTCCCTGGGATGGTTTGAATCTTGCCTTTATCTTAACAATGCTGTTCAACCAGTTTTCCCTGACAGAGGTATAGGTTCCCAAATCATGCCACCACTGAAAGCATTTAAACAGATTTGGACAGGGAGCTTTTTGTGAGCCTGGGGAGCTCAATATTTGCGAAAAACAGCCTTTGCTGCCTTTTTTGGACCTCTGCACTATTATGCACATTTTACTATCGGTAATAACAGTGCCTGGGTGTATGTGTTTCGTCTTTTGTCTCTTGTATGTTGCTTACTAAACTGTTACAGTTGTTTCATGCATCTGCTAAATCAATTTAAGTAATCTACACATTGAGGGCAGAGGTGTGGTTCCTGTTAATGGAATATTCCTCAGAGTAACATCAGACAAAACACTGTAAATACCGAGCACTAGCAGCTACTACAGATACAGAAAGGCGTACTAATTCCTACTAATAAAATGGATGACATCTTTATGTGGATTACCTTGTCTTTGACGGCCTGGAAGCTCTGCTGAAGCCAGCCTCCCCACCAGCCTTCTCTGTAAACATACAGACATTTAAAAATAGCTAACGTTACTTTTCATAACCAATAGCAGAGCAACGACTCGCACAAACACACACACACACACACACACACACACACACACACACACACACTAACAACGTTACATTTATCAAATGATCAAAATGGCTCGTATGTGGCGAGTCTTCAGACTTATTGACGTGTCAGCTGTTGACTTTCTCATCACATCTCTAGCTAACTTACACTCACACAACCTAGCAAGCTAACCGAGTTAGCTAACGTCAGCTATCAGTGCCATACGAGCTATTTTGCCGAAATAAGCCGCGAGACCGAATGTTAAGGCTGATAATAAATACAAGATGTAACATTTAAGCATATATACAGTCTACTTGTAACTACGTGATTTGAGACGCTCAAACGTTACACCTTAGCTAACCAGGCTGTGCTAACGCTAGCCAGGCTGTGTTTTGGTAAACAAATGCACTTCCTGAACTGATTCCGTGAGCTGCAAAGTACAGCGTTTACACAAAGTAATAACTCCAGCTCTTATCAGACACACAACACAATAAGGAAAGCGATGTGCACACGGTGTCAGCGCTCTCTGCTATATTATATTTAAAAACAAAAAGTAATTTGCGAGTTCACTCTCACCCTTCAGCCATCTTCAGACGATGACATCATCAGTATTTACTGAACTCTAACCCCGGCTGCATGGCTTTGAAAAAACACACACGTGATGCAATATGACTTCCCTCCTGTGATATACAGATCATTACATTCACATGTGCAGACAGAAATTATTGATTTTAATACTCGTCTTTTACAGTTTGTAATAAGGAAATGTGCTACTGTTTTTGCTCTAGCTACGGTGGCCGCAGAGGACCAAATTGGACGGCAACGCTAAAGACTGTGGCATAGTTTGAGAAGCACTATGGGCTATATGGTCTAAATAAAAGATGAAAGGACTTTAAGTTGGTCTCTGTTGTTTTGATGTGTTGTTAGAAACATAAAATAATCAATCTTTGCAGTTTGCATGTGACTTCAGGCTACAGCTGGTCACTTTTGTAAAAATAAATAAATAAATAAATAAATAATAATATTTGCTGAAACTGTCACTATATCTTGATGGCATCTGCAAGAATCCAACATATTTCTGAACGAAATCAGCCAATCAGAGCCAAGAAATCTCTAACATAGCTATCAGTCATGTCAATCACTGCTCATGAACTACGGGCAAGCTATCAAACTAGGCCATACTTACCAAATATGAATCAAGATTCGCAGCTCAAAAGCAGTGAGTGACATTACTGACAGCTGTGTTATAGACTCCTCAGCTGACTGGTCATTTGTGTTCAGATGCGGTGGATTCTTGCAAATGCCCATCGAAGCAGTATGAGGTGGCAGAGGAACGTAGGGTTTGTTTTTTTTTCACAGATTATTTGTCTCATGTAGTATTGTCAGAATCCTACATGAGAAATGGGTATTTTTTATAAAAGTTTCCAACTGAAGCTTTTATACTGTGGGGTCACATGTTTTGCACCCCTGCATATTTATATCAGACCCAACAGAAGCAGATTTGTCTAGAAACAAGAAAATATTATAAACGGAAGATCTGAAATCTGCAATCACTGTAGGCACTGTGTTCTCTGCTCTGCAAACCATGCTTGTTATGTAGCCTAATAGTTGTGTGAAAAGAAAATAGAACTGTGTGAAAAGAACTAGAAATCATCAAAAGTTAAGTAAATGCATATGAAGTTACCATCGCACAGTTGCATCAAAGGGTATCCAAACAAAGGAGGACAAACTGCAGCACAATGCTTCCACTGGGAAGGCTAACGATATAAGCATATGCAAGTTGTTTTCTTTTAATTGAAACTCATTTAACCAATAAGCTGCATATGAAACCAAACAAATGAATCCAGAGCAAACCTCTCCTCCTTGAGCCATTATGTTGGCTAATCAGTGTTTAGCAATTCCAACCTGAATCCCCTCATCAATCTTCTGCTCTCTGTGCATCTGTGGATGTGCATGTGAGCGTATGTGCGCGCCATATTGCATATGCACGTCGACCCCCAGCAGCTGTGCCTCATCAGTATTCTGGGTGAAAAGGGGGCTGTAGGCTTTACTGAGCAGAAAATGAAAAAGAACAGGCAACAAGCCCCTGGAAGTGTGTTCTCCCTTAATTGAAGTTCCCCCTTATCCAGACGTTGCACAATGTGTGCGTATGTCCCTCAATATGTCTCCCCTGTCCAGCCCCTCAATCCCCTTAATTGGGTCTTTCAGTCCCCTAATTAACTCTGTCAATGCAGGTTGTGCTGAGCCAAGTTGGGACAAGTACTCCTCTATTGATCAGTATCTGAAGCAGTTAACTTATCCATCTGTCTACATGGCCATGCGTGGTGTTTCCATGACATTTCATGCACGAAAAGGGGAATGTGTAGCATCATTACTGCATCCTTTAGGTTGTCTTTGATTTTTTGCAATTCTTCTTCAAATACATGATTAAGTAAATTAAATTTCTACCACTTTATCTCAAATTTTGGATTATTTGATTTTGTGTTTGTGAGGAACATACAGTTTTATGTTGGTTATGAGCTGTCACTCTCCTCTGTATAATAATCTGTTGCTTTTCTATTAACCATTATATTTACATTAAATACATAATACCCGAAGTAGCACATTTGACATCCTAGGCATACTTTTCTGCCCCTTCACCGCACCCAGAAATCCCTACAAAAAAATGGAGAAATCCCCACAAAAAAAACAAACAATAAAACAATACAGCATGTGCATATTTGAACATTTCATCTCCTTCTTTTTTTCCCTACAGATGCCAGATCTGCCAATGTAAAAACTGTTTAATGTGTTTTTTCTTTACTTAAGTATTTGCATTTCATGCTTTACTCCTTCTTCTTCCTTTTATTTTAGAGGCAAATATTTTTCTCATAAAAATCTGCCAGTGTTGTAAATTTCAACTTATCTTCAATACAATTTAACTTGTGTCAAGAATTTCCTACAGTTACCTTTATGTAACTTCTGGTGCCATAATTAACTTTATTCTCTCTTCTTTCAAGATGCAGATACTGGTTAGTAGTAAAGCATTTTGAACATATGATTAAAACCATGTTGAAGTATTGTTACTGCACTGCAAAACAGGATTTTAATGATACAACTGACCGAAATGTATATGTTGTAGATTAAACTGCCCAACATTTAGTTAAGTAGTTAAAACCTCCGCCTGATCAACTACTACAAAAATGCTACTCGCACTTTAATGAATCAGTACTGATAATGCTGTGATGTGCATGTAGGCTATAGAACACTATGAAAAGTACTGTTTGGCAAAACAAGTGCTTTTATACTTACTTACTTATTTTACACACATTTTACTGACAATACTTCTATACGTTCACATTTTTTACAATGTTTTATTACTTATTTTACTTACAGTAATCATCTAAATCCTTCACTGCTGCTAAAATTAGCCTCTTCTGTATCACTGTGTCTAATTTTCAGAGGTAATTGTGCACAACATTATGACTTAAACCAGAGCTGCCACTGCTGGTTAGCGTATGCTAAAGAGCACTGTGATGACAGCAGCGGCTGACCATAATGGCACACAGAGGACCTGTCCATATTGTATGATTTAAGAAGCATATCCATTACACACCACACATATCACACCCACACACACACATGCTCCAGACTGCTGATGCCACACCGTGGGTTAACACCATCTGGTGCTGATCAGGAAACACCAGCTTTGCACAAGTCAATGTCTCTAATTATCTACCTAGAGCAAAGGGAGGCAGATCCCCTCTAATCTCCACAATGTGTTCTGCTTCCCATTCCCACCTGTGCCCAAATGAAGGGGGGCCGTGTGGGAGGACCCGGGGTCTCTGTGTCAAGGGACCAGGGACCAGGTGACGCTGCAATGCCGGTCCCCACGACAGAAGCTCCGCCGCTTGGTTTGGCTGGCAGCTGCCTCCCCCCACTGAGACATCCCACAGCTGACAATCCCCAACTACTGACAGGGGCTCTTTTCAGTGTCAATAGCCTCATATATTAGAGCTAACCGCCTTTGTGGTGAGTGAGGGTGTCAGGCCTTTTGGCCCGACAGCGCTTGTTACCATGATGAAATGTAGATTGAATGGAGGGGGTCTATGTCTCAGGCACGAGAGCTTGGACTCCCCCGGCCTTTGTGGCCCACGCATGGCTATTGTTCAAACCCATTCAGCGGCTCTGAGGAGGAGGAGGTGGAGGGAGGTGGGTGAGAATGAGTTACATCTCTTCATTTCTTCCCTGATCTCCAACTCATCTGTCAGCCGTGGGAGGATAAGCATGTATTTTACACGCTTGATTTGTTGCTAAGTGAAGGCCAGCCATTGTCGGGGTTGTTTGACTAAATCAGGTTCATGGCAATCAGTGTGTATAATAGTTATGTTTGTGGTTTAGTGGATTAATCATTGTTATGAATTAGCTAGCACTTGATTTTTAACACAAATGCAACAAAATGTGATTGCAAATGTGTGTTATAAGTGTGGAAATATTTACAAAAGAATATCCTGTGTGCTTTTCACCTGTTTTTAGACTGACCGCATTATGTCCTCTGCTTTAAATTTGCCCTTTGTGTGCCTATATCCATGTTCTCATGAGACAGAGACAAATCGTTGGCCTAGAGCTAAGGACATGGCTATGTCCCTCGCCTGTGTCAGACAAAAGTGACGCGCCTTCCTGGCGCCTGTGTCGTCCTTTCATCTCCTACTCCCTGTTGAGGTGAAGATGGATGGTCCCCTGGCTCTAGAACACCGCATTCAGCCACTGTGCTGGCGTATTGTCTCATCCTTCTGTCCCTCTTTAGCTCTTTAGAGGTTAGTCTGTCCAAAGCTGGTTAGCAACCAGTGACACCCTTTCCTAAATATCCATTTTTACACTGCTCGCCTGTCCTTCCAAAGCACCAATAAAACCCCTTCTGTTTAGTAAAGGAAGGTGCGGCTGTATTGTTTTGATACAGCTGCTGTGTATTTGTCAGTATGTGTCTAAAAGTCTTACAGAAAAGTAGCTGCGTTGTAAAAACAGCCTGGCAGACATTGTTCGCTTTTTAAAATATGACTTGTTCAGGCAAAACTACCAGACAAACAACTGCCATCACAGAAAAAAATACTAGTATATAGTATTGTATAGTATATAGTATATAGTATAGTCTTAAGGATCACATTTGTGAAAAGAAGAACACAAACATTTTTTTTGTTTTATCATAGCAACATTTTAATTTAGGAAAATAGAAATCCAGCACAATTGGACACACCAGTTCAATTTCTGACAACATTTCATCATCACAAATATCAGATAAATTACTGTATTTGCTACTCTGGTAAAATCCTGCATGTACTTAGAATATTTCTTTATAAACAATGCAGAAAAGACAATTGATAAAAATAGCAGCAGTTTGCATGGCAGAACATATATACAGTATGTACAAGCTCTGGCACCAGCCATCATTGTAGCAGTTCGTTTAACAGCCTTTGAGCTGCTTGGTTCATTGGAAACAGTTAGGTCAGTTTTTTAAGAGAGTCCTGCTCACTTGGTCATAGACAGGCTGTGTAATGTGGAGGTAGTGGTGGGCAAAGGCTGGCAGAGTGAACAGGGGCAGGGCATGCCGGGGAAGTGCCTGTAGGAGCTGGCTAGGTGCAGGGGGTCCTTCAGAAGGCCCTGGACTGGAGCATGAAATCCCAGGAAGCTGGTGGATGGAGGAGAGTGCGGGGCTGGGGCTGCAGCAGGAGAAGGTGAGTGATGCTGGAGAGCTGAGGGCGTGCTGGCCACAAGAGAGTGCAGAGACTGGGCCAGA